CCCCCCCCCCGGCAGGACGCGGAGGTGGTGCGCACCCGGGACCCCCAGCGCCTGGCCCAGTGTGACGTGGTGGTGGACGTAGGGGGTGAGTACGACCCCGAGCGACATCGCTACGACCATCACCAGAGGTGAGGCCTCCCCAGCCATGCAGGACACCGGGGTCCCCTGGATGCCAGGGGTCCCTTGGGGCTGACCCCATGGCCCCGCAGGTCCTTTGCGCAGTCCATGCGGAGCCTCCGTCCCGACAAGCCCTGGACCACGAAGCTGAGCAGCGCTGGGCTGGTCTACTGCCACTTCGGCTCCCAGATCCTCGCAGGGCTCCTGGGACAGCCGGAGGACAGCCCTGTCGTGAAGGTGCTCTACGATAAGGTACCGGGGGAACCAGGAGGGTCTTGGGGGGGGCCTCTGACCACCCCAGTGCTGCACAGCTTTCTCCAGGGCTTCCCCTTGGTGGGGGTCACCCCATAAAAGAGTGCTTTGGGGAGGGGGACCCTGTAAAAGAGGGGAGCAGTTTGTTCTAGCTACTGGTGCACAGTTAGGCTCCAGGCTGGGCTGACCCCGTCTGTCCCCCCACTGTCCCCAGCTGTACGAGAACTTTGTGCAGGAGATCGATGCCATCGACAACGGCATCGCACAGGCAGAGGGGGAGCCCCGCTATGCCCTCACCACCACCCTCAGTGCCCGCGTGGGCCACCTGAACCCCCGCTGGAATGACCCCGACCAGGACACTGAGGTGGGGATGGGGAATGTGGCGGGGTGGGAGCGGGGCCACCCTGCTTGGGGCCACCACTGACCCTCTTCTGCATCCCCAGGCGGGGTTCAAGCGGGCGATGGAGCTGGTTGGGGGCGAGTTCATGGACCGGTTCGACTACTACCACCGTGCCTGGCTGCCTGCGCGGGTGGTGGTGGAGGATGCCATCCGGCGACGCTTTGAGGTACCCACCGTGCCAGTTCTGGGGGGAGTCTGACAGTTTGGGGGGGAGCGTTGGGGTGAGGGGAGGCCACGTCCCCTCAGTATAAACCTCCCTGCATGGCCCAGGGTGCCTCTTGTACCCCATATCCCTACACATGGCTGTGCACCCCCTCCTGTAGCCCTACACACAGCCTTGTACCCTCTCCTGTTCTCCTATACGCCTGCCTGTGGGTGTGCACCCCCTGCTGTGCCCCTATATCGTTACACGTGGCTGTGCACCCCCTCCTGTGCCTCTATACCCCTACATATGGCTGTGTACCCCCCTTCTGCTCCCCTATGCCCCTACACATGGCTGTGCACCCCCTCATGTGCTCTATATACCTATGTATAGCTGTGTACGCCCATATCCCCACGCGTGGCAATGTACCCTACACCTTATATCCATGCATGTGACTCCCCCTGCACCCTAATATCTTCATGCACCCCCTCTGCACCCCCACATCACTGTGCACGATCACGGACCTTCCTGTGCTTCCCCACACCTCCCTGTGCACCCCAGTATTCCCACACACACTCCTGCAACCCCAGAGCTCCCCATGCAGGCTCGGCAGAGCACCCAGCAGCAGATACACGTGGATTGGGGAGGAAACTGAGGGATGGGATGGTGCGGGGCCTGCGTGGGCAGGACCCCCGTGTGCCCAGCATGTCCCCCTCACCTAGGTAGACGTGAGCGGGGTGGTGCTGGAGCTCCTGCAGGGCGGCTGCCCCTGGAAGGAGCACGTCTTCAGCCTGGAGCAGGAGCTGGCGCTGCCCAACCCCCTCCAGCTGGTGCTTTTTCCCGACCGCAGCGGGCAGTGGCGGGTGCAGAGCGTCCCAGCGGGGCCACACACCTTCCAGAGCCGGTGAGACTTGTCCCCTTGCTGCATCCCCCAGCCACAGTGGTGTCCCCATGGGGGCAGGTTTTCACCTGCCACCTCCCTCTCTTCCCCTGCAGCCTCCCTCTCCCTGAGCCCTGGCGAGGTGTCCGGGATGAGGAGCTGTCCCAGCTCACCGGCATCCCTGGCTGCGTCTTCGTACATGCCAGCGGCTTCATCGGAGGCAACCGCACACGGGAGGGGGCGTTGGAGATGGCCCGGCAGACGCTGGCGCAGCAGCACGGGGGGGGAGCATAGAGCAGATGAGACCCCTCCCATCGTGGTCACCCCAAAAGGGACCCCTTGCTCAGTGGGGGGGATTCCAGGGACTGCTGCTGGGGATGGCTGAGACTGTCCCTGCTCAGCACATCAATGGGATCGCAGCGGGACGCTATAATGGCGCTGGCTGGCTGGGGGGGGGCTAAGCTGCCCCTGGGGGTGTCGCTGCTCCCAGTCCCAGTGTTGGACTGGTGCGAGCCCAGTCAGAGCCTAAACCAAGAGACTTTTTGGATCCATTTCTCCGAAGATTGTCCCCATTCCTGTTACGTGTCTGCTGCTGATGGGTTCCCAACGCCAGTAAAACCCAGTGTGTTCCCAGTGCATTTGCTGTTCAGGCAGTGGGGGCTGACGGGGGGTGTCAAGGGGTCCTTGGGGTACAGAGCGATATGGGCTTGCCAAGGGGCTGTGAATTGGGGTACAGAAGCGGGTGCAGGCATCATCCACCCCCTACACCCCTCCCCATACTGGGAGCCTGGGAGGGGAACGCAGGCATCCTGCTGCCCCCCCGCCACAAACCCGTGCAGCTGGCGGTGCAGAGGGGGAAACAGGGAGCCCCCCCCCTCGCTTCCAGCCTCCTGTCGCAGGGCAATGCGGGCAGCCTGGCTGCTCCTGCTGGCACTGGGGCTGCCTGCCTGCCCATGGGGTTGCAGATGCCTGGGGGGGGGCCCACCACCAGTGCTGCCCCCTACCAGCAGCTGCAACGAGACCCTGGGAGGGGGCAGACGGCCACGGGCGCCGGACGTGGTGGTGCTGGCGGCCGTGGGTGGGTGGCTCGGTGCCATCCTCATCTACGTGGGCCGATACGTCCGGAGGAGCCGAGCTGAGACCCAGTTGCACCTCGAGTACCTGCGGGCGCTGCCCTGCGAACCACCCAGCCCCAAGGAGGAGGAGGAGGGCGAGGAAGAGACACTCAGCACCGTCCTCTTAGGCGCCGTGGACACAAGCCATCACCAGCAGCAAACCAGGGAGCCCCAGGGGCGTGAGGGCCCCCCCCAGACCTGCCCCAGCGGCTGGAGTGGGTTCGTATCCCATTGTTTTCACCCCGTATCCTCGTGCCACCCCCATCCAGGCTCTGCTCCCCACACAGCACTGCTGAGGGGCTGGCTGCTGCTGTCTTTGCCCCTATGGGGTTTTCCCTGCCCTGTGTTGGGGCTTGGCTTTGGGGAGGATTTTGGGGGTCCTGGGGGTGTTTGTGGAGCCAAGGTTGTGGGGCTGAGCAGGGACCTTCTGCTCTCCCAATCATCTCCATGCCCCAGGCTTTAGCAGAGCTATTACTGTGTAATCCTAGGGATTAAACACATGTAATCCCGGGGTTTAACCACGCTGCCCCCCTCCAGCCTCACCATTAATCCCTGCTTTGGGCAGGGGGGTGGCCCATCTGCCCCCCCGCAACCGCTTCAGCACTGGTTGGGCTCACGCGGGCTGGCACGTTCGCTGCCTGGCTGCAGCCCCAAATGGGCCAAGTTTCAGTTTTTATGGACTCACAGAGTTTTTGGTTCACTTTGGGTGGTTCTTCCCACCCTCAAGGCAAAGCCCAGAGGCTGCACTTGCAGCTGAGGACCCCTCAGCCCCCTCTGCCCTCACCTTTCCCCTTAGGGCAGCAGCTCTTCAACCCCAAAACAAAGCCCCAGGGCCCATGGGCTGCAGAGGGCTCACACCCACCAGCACTGCAGCACCCCAACATTGCAGCAGCTGCCTTAATTAAAACCGATTTAAGGCACAGGGAATGGATGTTCTCTTGCAGGTTCGCCCCCAGCTATTTTTGACATGGAAAAGCAGCACTGGAGTTCCAGAAACATGCACAGACCCGTGGGACTTTGAGAACTCGCCCCACACAAAACTTTAAGCCCCCCCCCCCTCCCCCTGCATGAGGAAAGAGCAAGGCATGGAGAAGGCAAGGGGAAAAAGAGCCACTTTTAATCTGTACAGCACGAGCCCTGTGAGCTGCGAGACCCTGAGGAGGTATTAAAGGCACCTGAGGTCGGGCTGTGTGTCCCAGGAGGAGGATGGAGGATGCGGAGGGAGTGTCCTGGCACCGGCTCTTCAGGAAGATGCTGTTGTGGACCCAGGTGTTATCACAGCTCCAAGATGGGCTACTCACACACACTGGTGCTGGCTATGACGGGGCTTGGGCTGGAGCTGTTGCAGGGGACGTGGGCGCTCATGAAGAAGAAGGGGATGTGGCTGATCTTCCCCGTGGACCAGCACTGGAGGGGGAAGAGGATGGGAGGAAGCAGATGAGTACAGGACACAGCAGGGGATGACAGTACAAGCGTCACCCTCTTGTCTTCCCCGTGATCCCAGCAAGGACACCTTCCCCACCCTCTCCTCCCCACTGGGACACTGTAGGGAGGTTTTTCCACCTTCCCTGCTCTGCCGCTGGATTGATCTCCCTCCGGGACAGCGATGGGGAGCCCCCAAAACTGCTGCCAAAACTGGGGACTGCACTTACCACGGTCAGGAGGGCACCTTTCTTGAAGCAGGGGTGGAAGGCGATGAGCTGGGGCTGCGCGCCGCACTCACCCCGCAGGAAACCGCTGCAGGTGAAAGGAAAAGCCACAGTTACAGCACGACCGTGGGGCAGTACTTGGTCATACCGCCAAAACACAGCGCCTTCAGGGTAGCTTGTGGTTAGGCGGAGATGTTTGGGCCCTGCTGGGATGCACCAGGCAAGGGCAACCTGAAGCAAAGGGTTTTGAGGTGGATAATGGACAATATGGCCAAAACATAACTGATTCTGGGGTAAAAACGGTGACACTGCCTGAAGCAGGAGCACAGAGCGGCAGCATCTCTCTGCTCCAGGTGGGTCTGCTCTTCCCCACCACTCCCCGGGGGACTGCTGGTATGCAACCAACCCAAAAATGCGCTACTACGCACCACGGCAGGAGCTCAAACACGGGGCTGTTGCGGGTGCGAAACACAGCAATGACCGTCTGGCTCTCAGGAACATCAGCATGCCCTGCAGGAGGGAGAGAGAAGGAGCAGTAAGGCCTTCCCTTGCCCGAGGGACAGCACAGGCACACTTACAGGCCCCCCAACATGAGACCCGGGATGTGGAGGTCAGGTTTTTGTGGGGAGCAACTAGAGGCAGCTGGGCACTGCAGAGACAGAGGCAGGCAGACACCAAGGTGGGGGAAAGCTGGCTGAGGTCTGCATTTTCCTCACACAGAGGCAAGCAGGATTCTGGGATGGGGCTTTCAAAGACCTCTCAGTGATTTAAAGCTGGCTCCGAGGTCTCAGGTAGCTAGGTTTGGCTGAGAAGGGTTTGGGCAAGAGATGAGGCGACTCCTTTGGAAACACCCCAGCCTGTAAGGTGTGACGTGGGGGCCCTGTCTCTCCAATATGAAGGGTATTTTCCATCCCGTTGCAGTTTCTGCACTGAGATCCTCACAGGACCTACCTGGAGGTGCAGAGGATGGGGGGGACAGCTATGGGAGTCCTTGTACCCTCAGGGTTTCCCCCCACCTGGTTTCTTCCCCACCCAGCTTTAAGCACAGCAAATGAACCAAGATGCTGAGTTTCGGCCCAGCAGCTTCGCCTGTCTCCCCACCGGTGGCATGCAGGGAGGGAGCCCAAGGCAGCAGCATCCCCAGCACCACGTTTTGGTGTTCCCTCAAAGGTCTGCTTTGTCTCAGAGCGGGGCCCATCCAGGAGAGCCTGAATGGCTCAATTATCCCAAGGGCTGCTCCTAAAAAAACGGAGCCAAGAGGCCCAGTCGGGCTCCAGGCGTAATGTGGGCACTGTGGGAAAGTGGAGACCTTGCGGGGGGGTTGGGAAAGGTGATTTGTCCAACTGGAAGTGGGGAGGGAACTCAGACACATCCCTCTCTGAAGGATACAGAGGAGCGGAGTCATGGTGAAGAAGGATGGAGGGTGGGTGCTGCCTTCCCAACCTGACTTCTCTCCCCCACAGGGTTTGTGCCCCTTCTGCCTACTGGAAAGGGGATTTTCAGGCAAAGCCCGGTGCTGGGGCAGGCAGGGTGGAGGCAGCACCTCCTTCTTACCTCTGATGATCACTGCGAGTCTCTCACCGGTGGGGTCCCACACCATGGAGTGGATTTCTCCTCCAATCCTGAAACCAGCATGAGCAGCGGTGAAGTACCCCACTCCAGCCAATGTCCCCAGCACCTGGGGGCTGTTGCCGAGGGGGGCGCAGACCCCTCTGCATCCCAGGTGTTGCATTAGGGCAACGGGCGCAGCCAGACCCACCTCTCCTCCCCATAGAGTGTCTCGAAGGTGGTCTCAGACAGATCTGCCACGATAGAAGCTGTTTTTGAGCCTCCCACTTGCCCTTGCATCTCCCCTGAAACAAACAGCCTGGTCACTTCATGTCTCCTGCTTAAATTACTGTGTGGGTCATCTCACTGCCCTAAATCACACTTCTGTTTCCAAAGTGTTGCAGAATTCCTCTCTGTTTCTTAGAGCAGCTGTGGGGCAACATGCTGCTAGCCTGGTATCATCTGCTTATGTTTGGGGTGGAGGACAGGGGAGGTTTCCCCTCCACAAACATCAGGACCAGCCACCTCCATGGAAAAAAAGCCACAGGAGTTGGGCATTTAACCCGCTGTAAAAGTTTCTCTGCAAACCATTTGTGACTGCAAACTCATAACTGTGAGCGAGAAGCAACGCGAGGGGGGAAAAAACTCAACCCCACAGAGATTCTGTGCTTTGAGAGACCGCTGAGACACTCTTCCCGCTACGTGTCCTGGCTTTGCCTGCCACTGTCCCAGCAGGCTGGAAAATGCAGCTAATAAGCAAAAAGCCCATCTGCCCAAGCTCAGCCACAGCCAAAAGCAAGATCACTTGGGGACCAGCCACTGGCTCTTGGAAAGCTTCGCCTGGGTGGTTGGCTCAGGCAGACTCACCCCTGTACTCCGAGAAGGACAAGGAGTAGATGACGGACGCACCCAGCACCGTGAAGAGCAGTCGGCTGCCGTCAGGGCTCCAGCACCCTGTCTGCGGGACACAGAGCCACGTTAACACCCACTACCCAGGCCAGGGAGGTAGCAGCTTGCAAGGGACTTTGTGGAGCCAGCTGGAAATGGGGGGCATTTAGTAAAACACATTACACATCCCCGAGGGTCTTGGAGGCAACCTGTGCCCCGCAGGGGTGGGAAATGTCCCCATCCTACCTGGCAGCGTCCTTTGATAGTGGGCCACCGCTCACACGTCCACATCTGAGCTTCCCACACTCTGCAAGAGAGACAGACAGAAGTAAGTGGGACAAACTCCCAAGATCTGCCCCGATTCTACTGCTCTGAGAGAAGCCCAAGACATCAGACACAATTTGCCCACCCCTCTTTACCCCCCACATCAGATGCAGTAGGAATGGGAGCAGTTAGGACACAAAGAATTCAGATCTGCTTCGGTTTGGAGCAAATGAAAAAGATAATAAGGGCTGAAATAAAACATCTTACAGGCGGGGAGCTCACCTGAACACTGCGGAGGGAGCGGCTGCCAGGACCTTGCTGCCATCGGGCGACCAAGCCAAGTAAGTGACACCACCGCCCCCAAACCACTGCAGCTGGACGCAGTTTTCGGTGGACACATCCCACACCTGAAGGAGGGGACAACAAGAAGGATAATGACACCAGGACCTGAACTCTGACCAGGTAGTTAGCACAGCTTTGGGGGTGGTTTTGCGTGCATTAGGGAATGCAGACTGATGCTTTCAGATCTAGTTCAAATTCAGGAGCTGCCTAATCCATCCTCTGACGAAATGCCGCCTGTCCTCAGCAGTCTCACAGCCGAACCGTCCCTTGGTGACCCCACGGTGGGCTCACAGTTCTGGTATCCCAAAGGCAGCACTCCAGGAGGTTCAGCCTCTTACTCACCAGCATGGCTGTGTTGACCGGTGATGCTGAGAGCAGCAGCTCCCCGCTGGGAGCCCAGGCCAGGCTGGTGACAGGGCTGTGCCCTGGGTAGGACAGCACCTGAGCGCAGCCAGATGATGGTCTGTAGGGAAGGAGAGAGAAGCCACCATGGTCGATGGTGAGAAGGGCTGGCCCACGTGCTGCTGAAAGCCAGCGCTTTGTCTGCTGGCGGGATGGGCACCTGCCTGGCGTCAACCCAAAGGGGCTCGCAACAACCCATGGAAGGGCCGGGGAGATGCGTGGGGCTGTCACCTGGTGGAGAGGGAGGTGGGATCCAGGTGCCAAACCAGGACGCAGCTCTGGCAGGCGACGGCAAGGATGGAGGCACAGAGTGGCTTCCAGGCCATGGCGGCCACGTTCCTCTGCAGGCGATGCTTCAGCGAGGGGATGGTGGCACTGCCGGAGAGAAGGGAATCGTGACAAAAGGAAAAATGGGGGATCAAGGGTCCTCACACAGCCTGAGCTGGGCCACAGGCTGTCTCCCAGTGTCCTCTCTCCAGCTCTGACCACAGTTGGGGCCTAAAAGCATAGAGTGAGAAGTGGGGGGTGTGCCCCACCGTGACCTGCTTCCTGGGTGGGGGGGGGAGGGACAGAGGAGATCCCAGCCAGGTGACACCAGCACCGTGCAGCAAGCCAGAGCACACCTCATGCAATTAAGTGTCGTGCCCCATGCTGCCCACAGCCCGGCCCCGGGATGGGAGGTGGCACTTGCTGGCTTGAAATTCCAGCTGGGGGAGAGTGCCTCTGCAGGGAGGCGCGGGGAGGGCTGCAGGACCAGCCGGCAGAGTCTTCTCCTGAGGAGGGCTTTACATGCACTGGGGGAGCAGGGAGACCTGGAGGAGAAAGGAGACTCAATGACACCCAAGAGGCTGCTCTGCCTGTGATGGCAGCCAGGCTGTGTGCCACCTGGGATGCCCCCAGGAGCTACAGAGCAGGGAGGGAAAGAAAAACGTAAACTTAAGGCCAGAGATTTTCGGAGATGTCCTTGCAGAGCTCTGGCTACACAACAAGAGGTTCTGGGGACAGACAGGGCCAGCGAGAGCAAAGCCCAAGCGAACACCAAGGCAGCGCAGGGCAGAGATGGAGGAGGAATCCTCAGCATGTGCTGGAGGTGGATGTAAGAGGGCAAAAGGGGGAGCAGGGCGTTCTGCGGAGGCACTCCCTGAGGAGCAGTGTCTCCCAGGACATGGCCAGCAGTGCTCAAAGAGCGGCCCAGCTCTCACCTGTTGGAGTTGTAGACCCGAATGGAGTCATCCAGAAGAGCCACAGCAAACTTGCTGGTGTGGGGGTGCCAGGCGAAGGCCCGGATGGTGCAGCCGGCCCTGGAGGGAGGAACGGAGCAGGGTGAGGCATGCCAGCTGCCACACCAGTGTTCCCGGCTCAAGGCAGCAGTGATGGGTTCGCGGGCATCAGGCATGACCACCTAGCAGCCCCCCAGGGCTGACAAAGGCAGTTCCCAGAGTCACCAGTAAAATAAAACTTCCTTTTTGCTGCTGAATGGGACCATTTTCTCTGATAAATTCCCTGTTCCTGCCAATTATTTGCAGGGCTCTGCTGAGGAGCCAGTTAACAAACAGTCTAGGGTTGATATTTGGAGGAATTTTCCAAGTGCTGATCTAGTTTAATGCTGTTTCCTCCACGTGCAGTGCATCGGGGCATGATTTGCCTCTTCATCATTGTACACAAACTGGGGCAGCCAGAGGCAATGGGGAAATATTTGCCCTAACATCTGTCTAATGGGGAGGCTGAACATCTAAAAAATGGGGTGATCTTGTCCTCGTACCCCCACCCGCTTTGCTCAGCTCCACAACCCCCTTTCGTAGGGTTTTACAGACGCCCACGGACAACGGTTTTCACAACACGCAGGACTCACCAGTCCACCGCCTGGGAGAACGCCGCAATCATGTCTTCGCTGGTTAGCTTTGGGGGAGAAGAGTTAACACTGAGCTGGCAGTGCACGTGAGAGCAGGAGCTGCCTCTGGTACAGCAGTGAGGACCCCCCTGTATCCAAACACCCCCTCTTCCTTCTCCCCCCATCTCGATTTCGGTCTCTCTTGGAGCACTTTGCTGTCCTAATGCCTTTCCAGCACCCATTCTCCTCCCTTTGGCAAAGGAAATTTGCAGCATTTGTAGCTGGGCACCACCAGGAGAAATATTTTGCTGTGTTTTCAGCTGAGAAGCACCCACCCGCCATGCAAACCAGCCCACTGGCACAGGGTCAGCGTCGCCAGACATGCTGCATCATCCCTGCCTTCCCGAGCATGAAGGTAAAGCACCAAAAAGACTCACCGAGAGGTGAGGGAACAGGGAGCCATGCAGTGAGGAGAGCCAGTGGCACACTGCCAGCAGGTACCTTGAGCCTGCCTTCACCCACTGCAGCCCTGTGGAGAGAAAAGGACCATCAGATCTTCCATGGTCTTCAACGAGAGGCCCGACGGGCAGAGGAAGCACAGGCAGCTGCGACAGGCAGGGACAGGCATGATGGAAAAGGGGATGAAGGGAACCAAAGGATCAAAGTGAGATCTGGAGAGACCCGGGAGATCTCCAGGTTCTCCCTGAGCAGCCCAGACTCACCCTCCTCCTCGGCATTGGCGATCTCTTTCAGCACCCCGCACAGCCCCACGTCCCGCCTGCAGCAGAAAGCTCGGTCAGCCTCCCTCACCCTGTGTGTTGGTGACGCAAAGCCCAGGCCACTTCTCTCCCCATCCCCACAAAATCCCCCTCACCTGCTGAGAACACCCGGGGCCTCCAAACCAGCTCTCCCCTCAGCTGAGGGCACTTACCCCAGTCACCAGTGACTGCTGGACCTGCCCCCAGCTGCGCTGAGCTCTCAGCCATATTATGAACCCCCCCAAAACTCTCTCAGGAAGCTCAGACTGGGAGCAGGCTGTGTATCCCCACTGCTCGTGCGTGAGAGCTGAAGGGGCAAAGAAGCCTCTGCCATGTTCCAGGGTGAAGTGGCTGCAGGACAGGTACCGGGAAGGGCATTTGAGAGCAGATTTTAAGTGAACAGACAGCTCCCAGCTTTGCCTCCCGCAGACTTGGCTGTTTCTGAGCGTGGAGGGGACACCCCCCCCACACACACACACTCACCAGGCACTGAGGCATCCCTTCCAGAGGGACTCGCGGTGGTGGATGAAGGCTGGCTGGGTGCTGTGCTCCAGCCGGCTGTGAGCCTTGAGGGTTTCCTTGGGCAGGCTGAGGACGGGCAGGTCTGCCAGCTGCGGGCACCGAAACCGTGTGGTGAGCGAGGCAGCTGAGCTCGAGGGGGGTTCTGGGGGCAGCTGGGAAAGGACCCCCCCCAGTTGCAGAAAGCAAATAGCGATGTGATAAAAGACGGGAAGCAAAGATGGAGCGAAGGGATGAAGAAATGCCCCAGGTGTGAGCCTGCCTCCTTCATGGCTGAGGGGAACCTCTGAGGGGGGTGAGGAGGAGACACCCCCAGCAGAAGGGGCTGAAACTCCAGTCACGGGGGGGGTGTCAGTGCGTTACCCCCGGGTCTGGCGGGGGGG